CCCCGGCCTCAGCGTGCCCGGCGTGGTCGCGTCACTTCCGGGTGACGTTCCCCCCGGGGCAATGTTCCCTCTAAGCTGGGAGTCCCGTGAGCAAAAATCCCACTTTGTGAGCTACTGGCATTAAAGTTCTGAGCAAGCGATTTAGCTACTGCATCAATCCGTTTGCTCTGGAGCCCTCCTTCCTGAGCTAAGACAAAAATGTGTGAGCTGGAAGCTCAAAAACTGTGAGCTAGCTCACACTCACTCATCTTAGAGGGAACACTGCCCCGGGGCCCGATCCGCCGCCGGCGGGGAACGGGCCTCTGGGGCAGGGGTTTCCCCGCCCCCCGGGGGGACTTGGCAAGCCTATCAAAAAGGTTGGGACTCCCGATTTAGAACAATTAAAACAAAGCGCCAATTAAAAAAAAAAAAAACCCAGTTAAAGGACATCAATGCACAGCAAAGCTAAGATCCAGATTTTTTTCCCCAAAAAGCAGAAAACAGATGTGCACTCATGATGAGCCAGTGAAAGCACTGGAGAACAGCAAGTCTTAACTTTGTGCTGAAAAGAAAACGACGTAGGTGGGTCTCAAATCTGTCTAGGAAGGGTTTTCCGTAAAGCAGGTGCCACTGAAAAGGGTCTCTCTCTCTCCGCTCACCACCTGCCTAATCTCTGACAATCAGGGGTCATTTCCTGCAGGAGCACACAGGAGCGGAGCTCCGGCAGTAAAGAGCCCAGGGGGCGGGCACATGCAACAAGCCCCACCCCCTGCTCCCAGCAGCCCTCAGTCAGAGCAAGAAGCAGCCAGGTAAGCTGCAGCCCCAAGAGCTAGCAATCCAAAACAGTCCAGTGTAGCCTGAGCAGTGGGTGTTGCCTTCTGACACACTTCCGGTGATGTCAGGGGGTGTGGCATATGCAAATAAGTTATGCTAATGAGTTATGCTAATGAGCTCCTACACCTCTTTTTCTACGAAATGACCCCTGCTGACAATGCAAGTGCCAGGAGAAGCGCTGAGCATATCTTAACATTCAGGCAGTTCCATATGGGAGGAGGAGTTGGTCCTTCGAGGGCCTGGGGAATTCAGCTGAAACCTTCCCTTTGTCTTCGGCTATACTACTGGCACGGCATTTTTCATGCAATTCAGCTTGTCTGGAATTACTTTTCTTCAACACGAATTGCCAGCCACATTAATTAAGGCTTTTCCCGCTATTATCCCTATTATTTCTGGCACGATTTTACAAACGAAACTGTACTGAAGGCTGCTCTTGGTTTTGCAGAGTAGGAAAAGGAAGGAAATGGAGAGTAAAAAAACACCCCGAACCTTAATTACATGTCTCATCATTTGGGACAGAACATTATCACAATCAGGATGCGTGAAATAAATTACTCCAGATGGATTTGCTTTATTGTCCTAGTCTTGGCAAAATACACATACGCTACAATGATGAACAAGAAACAAGAAAAAACAACCTGTCCAGCAGACAGTGAGAAATAATACTGAAGCTGTTTCTCTACAAGCGTATCATTTAAACGCCATCTTCATGATAATCCACAGCTATGTCAGAATCTACATTGTAAACAGCGCAGCCATATATGGGACATCTTCTGTATAGCCAGTATTGGGTAGCGGACAAATTTAGATCAGGGAGACGCAGTACGTGATAGATCTTGGGCTAGTCATTAATTCCCTGCTTAATTGGTGGGCAGAGGGGACATACATGCGGCTCTGACTTTCATAGCAGAATGGATGGATAAAAGTTTAAATACCTATTTTGCCCAGTAAAAGCCTTTTGGGAGGCATCATCTGGCACAGTGGAAGGGGTAA